TGAGACCTGCTTTCCTCATGTCCTTGAGCATGCCCTTTGCTTCTCACATGGATGCTGAGTGACACGCAAGGAGCTGAAAAACTGCAAGACTAGGAAAATTTGAGGCCAAGTGGGCGCAAGAACATAAGCACTTTGCTTTGAGAGCAAAATAGAGGTTTTGCCTGTCGCTCCCCCTCTTCATGGAGGAACGACACTAAGCCCTGCCTAGGCTTCATATCCGAGTCACGGCACCATTATGTCGCTCCCCCTCTTCGTGGAGGAACGACACTAAACCCTGCCTAGGCTTCATATCCGAGTCACGGCACCATTATGTCGCTCCCCCTCTTCATGGAGGAACGACACTAAGCCCTGCCTAGGCTTCATATCCGAGTCACGGCACCATTATGTCGCTCCCCCTCTTCATGGAGGAACGACACTAAGCCCTGCCTAGGCTTCATATCCGAGTCACGGCACCATTATGTCGCTCCCCCTCTTCGTGGAGGAACGACACAGGACCCTGCGCTGTTCTTTCGTCTGCTCGGCCCTCCCCGGGTTTGCTGCTGGTTCTTCCCGGGTTGGCTACTATCCCTTCCACCTCCGTGGAAGGGCAGTTCCCCCTGGCCGCATTCCCCACTTCCGCAGGGGAGCGGCACACCGCCGGCCGGCTCTCTCGGGGGCTGCACAGGTGTTCCTTCAGATAGATGTTCCCCATAGATGTTCCTGGTGCATACCGTCTCTCTCCTCCTTTATAGTCCTCCTCCGCCAATCCTAACTCGGCTGCCCACACGCCGAGTACGCTGCTCTCCTCCAATCAGGAGCAAGTCCTACAGTTTATTAGTTGAACTGGAGGCAGCTGTGCGGAAGCTGTTTACTTCTCTCCCATCGCCATATTGTGGGAGAGCAGATGCATAGAATAAGTCTTAATTCCAGTAACTCAGTCTAGTCCGGTTTGCTCCCCACATTGCCAAAATCTGAAACTAACACAAAAGCAGAAAATAACTTAAATAAAATATCCTTGATTTAAGGAGAGGGAATGTTTAATAATAAAGTGAAACAATTCTTTATCTCAGAAGAGTTGTACAAGGGTGGGCATTGTGGCAAGTGGATTAATCCACTGCTTGGGATGCCTACATCCTATATCTGAGTACCTGATTTGCATCTCTACTACTTCACTTCCCAACCAGCTTCCAGCTAATGTGCCTCCTGGAAGGCAGCAGATGATGGTCCAGGCACTTGGATCCTTGCCACCAGCATGAGAGACTCAGAAGTTTTTGGCTCCTGGTTTAGGCCTGGCCTACCCCTGGTTGTTGAGGGCATTTTAGGGGAGTGAATTAAAGATCTCTATCCCTCTTCCTCTGTCAATTTGCCTTTCAAATAAGTAACCAAGTCAGTCAGTCGGTAAGTAGGCATGTAAGTAACTACATCTTCAAAAAGAGTTGTATAAAACATGAGAAAGGGAAAAAGTGTGAAAGAAGGATATTTTATGTCACAAGCCCTGTTCTTGTAAAAGAAAAGTATAAAATCAGAACAAATTTTCCTCAAAGAGACACAAGTACCAGGTTAGTGGTTATTTCTGTGAGAAAATGGTATGGGATGGGGGAAGGGATAGCTATAGTGTCATTTTTATTAGTGAAAAAGTAAAGTAATATTGCAAAATGGTAAATTTTATTAAATGTGAGTGATTGGTCTGCTGATGGCTTTTATGTTACTTACTGCCTGTAACACACACTTCATGACTGTGAAATATTGCAAGAAACTTTCCTAAATCCCAAGATTCTCAGTAGGACAGTTTCCACCACACTGGCGGTTCCCAACTTTTTTTGTGTCTCATGGTTGTGAATGATGTCAGCCGCGCTTGTGGCCTCCCAAAGCCACACGTAGGGTATGCCAAGTTTCATTCAGGATAAGCAAGACCAGCTGCGGTAACAGGAAAATACAAAATTCTGGTCGTTTGACACAATAAAAGTTGATTTCTCCATAACTCCACATGTCCAACATGGCTTGAGTGGGAAAGGGGACTGCTTGTTTTAGTCACTGATAATACGGGATGAGACAGGCTTCTCCATGTTGTAGCTACAGTATCTGGAAGGTCATACACCAGCTCTTACATATGTTGGCTTTACATATGATGCTGTGACACACATCACTTCTGCTCACAGCTCATTGGCTGGAACTAGTCACATGGTTCCCATTTCCTGCCAGGTAGACCAGGAGATATGGAGAAAACATGGATATTTAGAAAGCAATAAAGTTCTCTGTGATGTCTTAAAACAAGAGTCTGGATTTGGACTTTGTTTTGGGGACTCTTTTTTAATGTCACCACCCCCCTTCACATTTGAAGAAGCATTTTGGAATACAAGAGAGGAAGGAAAAGGTTCTGATAAGAAAAATCTTGAACCTGATACAATTTGGAAACAACTCTAAATTAACCACAAGCTTTGGAGCTATTGCTTATGATCCACCTCACAACCGAGCAAGGTAAACCAGCATATCCTGCCATGAGCACAGAGAACTGCAGAGCTGTTACACTATGTGACTCCACTTAAAAGATAAAACATTGAAATATTGGTCCTGAGATGTGACTCACTCCCTTCCTTCCTTCCTTCTCTCTTTCCTTCCTTCCTTCCTTTATTCTTTTTTTTTTTTAAAGATTTATTTATTCATTTGAAAGGCAGAGTTATCGAGGCAGAGGCAGAGAGAGAGAAAGAGGTGTTCCATCCCCTGGTTCATTCCCCAGATGGCCACAATGGCCAGAGCTGAGCTGATCTGAAGCTAGGAGCCAGGAGCTTCTTCTGGGTCTCCCATGTGAGTGCAGGGGCTCAAGGGCTTAGGATGTGTTCCACTGCTTTCCCAGGCCATAGCAGAGAGCTGGATTGGAAATAGAGCAGCTGGGACTTGAACCAGAGCCCATAAGGGATGCTGGCACTGCAGGCGGTGGCTTTTACCCACTACACCACAGTGAAGGCTCTCCTTCCTTTACTCTTTCCCTTCATCCATTCATCCATCCATGAAATATCCACTGTGTTAGTCAAAAGATCTTTGAGGGGCTGGCGCTGTGGTGCAGCAGGTTAACACCCTGGCCTGAAACGCCGGCATCCCATATGAGTGCCAGTTCTAGTCCTGGCTGCTCCACTTCTGATCCAGCTCTCTACTATGGCCTGGGATAGCAGTAGAGGATGGCCCAAGTCCTTGGGTCCCTGCACCCACGTGAGAGACCCGGAAGAAGCTCCTGGCTCCTGGCTTTGGATCGCGAAGTTCTGGCCGTTGCGGCCAATTGGGGAGTGAACCATCAGACAGAAGACCTCTCTCTCTTTCTCTCTCTCTCTCTCTCTCTTTTCCTCTCCTCTCTCTGTGTGTAACTCTGACTTTCAAGTAAAATAAATAAATCTTAAAAAAAAGACCTTTGAAACTTTAAAAGGCAGAATTTATTTCCTGCCTTCTAGATCTTATAGCCTACTGAGGCAAAGGAAGAATACTAAAAATCTCACGAGTATCTGTGTCATATCAGTTGGGTAATTATTGAGGAAAAGTATTGGTATGGGGGGGGCTAAGAAAAAGTACAACATTGGACTTTTCCCCAATAGCTTCTTTTCCTCTGTGTCTTATCTGCATTTTGATGCTCATCACATGATGTGATATTAACCACGATCTGAGAATTCTTCGAGGGAAGAGTTAGTAATGAAGAACCATCTCCTGGTGACTGAGGGGATGATGGCATTTGATACGTGTACTTTGTGAAACTATCAGTCATACGATGGGTGTTTACTTCTAAACTGTGCCTCAAATATTGATCAATAAACAGAACATAATTTCTTTGCAAATGCCAACCTGACGAATATCTTAGACTTTTCTTTTTCTTTTTCTTTCTTTACAGTCAGTTTTCTCCTGGGCCATACACAGTCCATCAGGACCCCGGCCTCCAATTGCTGTGACTTAGTAATAGTTGGAAGGCCAGTGTCAGGCTCAGTCTATCTCCAAGTCATCAGACGAAAGACAAACATTAAGCCAGGCCATGTACTGTCGGTTGCCTGTCGAAGCCTACCTCACTGCCTCCCCGCAACAACATCACAAAGCGGATGCTCTTACTCTCCCTCTTTCTAAGTGAGAAAACAGGGCAGACAGGCTAAGCATTCAGGGGTCACAGAGATAGTAGGGAGTGGGTGGAAGATCTCTCTCTGTCTCTCCTCTCTAACTCTTTCAAATCAATCAATCAATCTTCCCCCCCCCCCCCAAAAAAAAAAAAAGAAACAGAATGCTAACAGCTTTCTGGTTAGACTTACTAGGGAGAGGTGATGCCAGGGGCCCCTGACAAGCAGGTTCCTAGAACCGTTTGCTTTAAATGTCATGTGTAAGTTGCTGGGAGGTGACCTGACCTTGGAGACAAATTCTTGCAAGTATATAGTGAGCAGTCTGCCGAACATTTCCTGGGGCCTCCTACGAAGGCACTTCAGAAAGTCTGGGGAATGTGTGCTTAGGAAAAAAATGCACAAATTTCAGGTTTTTTTTTTTTTTTTTTTTTTTTTGCACCAGAATAAACTTCTCATTCCATTTTCCATGAACTTTTGGAGGTTCCCTCCTCTGTGCTGACTGCGGCAGGCATGTGAGGACGAGTGAAGCCTGTCAGTGAAGGGCACAGAGGGCACCTGCGGCAGGCATATGAGGACGAGTGGAGCCTGTCAGTGAAGGGCACAGAGGGCACCTAGGGGCCAAGGCACAGTGTCAAGCCCAAAAAAGGCTCCTGGTAGTGTTTGAGAGTAGAAACCCTCCAATGTGGTATAATAATCCTGTACAAGGGACTAATGGCTGCAATGGCCAGGGCTGGGCCAGACCAAATCCAGGAGCCAGGAGCTTCTTCCAGGCCTCCTATCAAGGACTTGGGCCATCTGCTGCTGCTTTCCCAGGCCAGTAGTAGGGAGCTGGTCTGGAACAGAGCAACTGGGACTCGAACCGACACCCATATGGGATGCCAGCACTGCAGGCCACAGTTTTCACCTCAGTGTTACGTTTCTTTTGGAATGCAGGAGGCTCTTATGCTCAGCAGACACAGCACAGGGGGACACTGTGAATCTGATCCCGAGCACTTCTGAGGAGCTGAGCAGGTGCACACCCCCAGAACACTGGCTTCTGTGACTTGTGGGACATCTGGAGTCCAGGAAGAAAACTGCTGTTCTTTCACAAGCTCAGAGGTTCAAATCCACTCTATGAGATGCAACAAAAAGTGTCTCAGGCTACAGATAATCGAAATGAATTGATCAAAGTAATCTACATGATAGTTTATAAAGGACAACCTCGTGGAAGAAATAAAAGGAACCCTGGGTGCATAATTTCCTGTGTCTAAACAGCCGTGTGATCAGCAGGGTTCTGGTTTAACTCCTGCATTCCACCTAGTGACTGCTGGGTAAGTTCAGGCTGGTGCTGGCCTCCCCATCATTACCAAGTTATGGGAGTTAGGGAGGGGGAGGCACAAGAAATGAACTGTGGACATTCCCAGGGAAAATTAGGGAAGCACTGGCTGAAAAAAATAATAGCCAAAGAAACTTTCAGACTGACATTTTGAAAAGGAATGATTTTCTGCTATTTAATGAAGCATTGTTAATTTTTTCAAAAGAGGGAGGAAAGAGGAGGGAACTATTATTATGATCAGGGCTTGGGATTTGGGCACAGACTAGGGAACTTCAAAAAGTTTGGGGGAAAAGTGGAGTGAAAAAAGATAAGCTTATATTGCTGTTTGTACAGAATGTACATTTCCATGAGCTTTTTGAAGATGAACCCTCACGCCTCACTTCAGGGAGAGCGCCTCTATTTGATGCTGAGTGAGGAGGGACAGGAGATGATTTTGAGAGGCAGTTAGAGTTTGGAGCCCAGTGCTGGGAGGGAGGTTCTGTCATGCTGGTAGTGTCTTTGACATGGGGAAGGGAAAGCACAGGCAGGCAACCATCAGAGAAGCTGGGGGACAACCGTCTCTCTCGACCTCTCTGTGCCATGGGTGACAGAGAATTGCTCAGAGCAAGAGAGTGAATGGGGAGGCCACTGTCAAGAGTGGCCACTCCCAGGTCCCTTGATTAGAACAGGCACCACAGGGGTGGGTGTTGTGGTGCGGCCAGTTAAGCCCGGGCTTGGAATGACTCCATTCCATTTAGGAGTGCCTGTTGGAGTCCCAGTCACTCTGCTTCCTATTCAGCTTCCTGCTAACACACCTGGGAAGCAGAGGTTGATGGCCTAAGTTCTTGGGCCCCTCACACCCGTGTGGGAAACCTGAATGGAGTTCCAGGCTCCTGGTTTGGTCTGGCCTAGTCCTGGCAGTTGGAGTCATTTGGGGAGTGAAGCAACATGTGGAAGACCTCTCTTTCTCGGTTTCTCATTCTCTCTCTGTCACTTTGCCTTTCAAATAAATAATACTTATAAGCAGTGAACTCTCATTAGAACAGACAAGACAGCAGAGAATTCAGGGGCCCGAGTGGATCATTAGCACAAGCCCATCCCATATCTTGGATGTTTTTCCATCAGTGTTTTTTGCTGCTATTGTCAAACGCACAGGTTCTCTCATAAAAGACGTGGGAGACATAATGGCAAGAATAGGGAAAAAATCCAGCTTCCAGCACTTTAGCATGTGCACACTCACATTTTGGCATATTTTCTTCCAAACCCAGTTTGTTCTTATGCAGTTGGAATCATTACATATGTATTATTTACTGTCCTTACTTTTTACTTACCTTAGGGCATGGACATTTCCAATTATCCTGCATATTTTAGAACCATTAATTTTAGGGAGGGGATCACATTCCACCCAGTGGATGTGAGACAATTGACTTTGCTATTCTTTTCCTTGTTCTGAATAGATTAATCTCCCCGTGTTCACCCCTCCCTTCAAATATAACACGTCTCACCAACATCGTCTTTGTGCATTTCTCTCTCTCTCTCTCTCTCTTTTTTTTCTGAGACTTTATTGCGGCATCAAATGGCAGCATTGAAAGCCAGAGAAAAATGAGCAAAGTTAGCTATGTACAAAGAAGAGTTTACTGGGACAGAGGTGGTTGGGCACTAAGAAACTGTTGGTCCATTTTCCTTCTAAAAAATCATGTCCTGTAAAAGTCTTACTGCATGAGGTATCAACCCACATCATGTTTAAGGGCAGGAGGATGAAATCAAAGGCAGAAAGTTTCAAGGTTTATCATGCTGTGTCACAATGGCTTCTCGGAGCCTTTGGGATGACAGCATGCCTTAAGAATCATTAGTAGCGGGTGCTGTCCAGCAGGTCTCTCTGCGATAGTGGAAACGTTTGCTGCACTGTCCAAATCAGTAGCCACTAGCCACATGTCATCACTGGGCACTTGAAATGTGGCTTGTGGACCAGGGAACAGAATTTTAGATTTTCTTTAACTCACATTTAAATAGCCACTTGTAGCCATCAGCTCTCATACTAGACAAGCCAAGAATACAGAAAGATGTAGTGAGATGTTCTGTGTCTACACAGTCTGTTTTTATCTCCCCGTGCAGACTTCCTAGAAGTTGCTGTGAGTTTTCTGAACTTTAAGAAAAGCAGGAGGCCGGCACTGCAGCTCAAAGGCTGATCCTCCGCCAGCGGCGCCGGCACACCGGGTTCTAGTCCCGGTCGGGGCGCCGGATTCTGTCCCAGTTGCTCCTCTTCCAGTCCAGCTCTCTGCTGTGGCCAGGGAGTGCAGTGGAGGATGGCCCAAGTCCTTGGGCCCTGCACCCCATGGGAGACCAGGAGAAGCACCTGGCTCCTGGCTTCGGATCAGTGCGGTGCGCCGGCCGCAGCGTGCCAGCCGCGGCGACCATTGGAGGGTGAACCAATGGAAAAGGAAGACCTTTCTCTCTGTCTCTCTCTCTCTCTCTCACTGTCCACTCTGCCTGTCAAAAAACAAACAAACAAACAAACAAAAACCCAAAAACAAAAAAACAGGGGACATTGAGAGGCAAAGGTTGATCTTTGTCTTCCAAGTGCTGCACTGTGCTGGCTCACAGTGGCGGCCCAGGGAAGAGCTGAGAGATGACGCCATGGCTCCAGGCTAAGTGGAAGGGTTGTAACCAGAACACATGTCTGCTGAGCTGCTGTGCAAGTATCACTTCTCCTTTGACTCTTTGTCTTGTTTTCCCAGTGGCTCTTTAAACACATGCTTTGTCCATGCAGATTCTCTGTCTTTTATGGCACTGGGCACATTGAGTGGGCAGAGAGGGTGGTGGTGACTCTTCTGCGTGATTTCCACGGGGGAAGTTCCCAAATTCAACCCATGGCAGAGAGAAGCAGGGACAGGTGACTTTCTGTTGAGAATGGTGCCTCCAGCCTGTAGAGACGGGCATGTTTCTTCCTCCTCAGTGTGATCACAGTGCCTGGGACCAAACCAAGTTGCCTTGCAGGTTGCACATGGCCTGATCCTGGATGCAGTGACTCTCAGAGGATGGAGAGGAGAAAGAGAGATACCTCCTGACTGCTGATTCACTCCTCAGATGCCAACAACAGCCAGGGCTGAGTCAGACCGAAGCCAGGAACCACAGACTCCATCTGTGTCTCCCACATGAGTGGCCGGGTCCAGGTATGGAGCCGTCACCTGCTGCCTCCCAGGGTGTGCGTCATCATTAAGCTAGACTGGCAGCTGAAGAGCTGAGACTTGAAGTGACACTCTGATATAGGATGTGAGGATCCCAAGTGGTAGCTCAACTCACTGCTACAACATCTACCCCAAAATAGGAGATTTTTGAATTATGCCTCTTCTGTGTATGAGGACATGATTGCTCAAGCATTTCAAAGAACAGTGGATAAGAGGAAGTTTAGAGTAAGTTCTTGAGCATCTGGGAAATTTCCAGAATATATATTAGGAGTATATTTAGCTGCAAATAACAGAAAGGCAGACTGCAAGGGATTGAACAAGTGGTTTTATTTTCTGTCACATGAAGGCCAAAGACTGAAGTCCAGCTCAGGAAGCCAGAGATCATCTCCGTTTCTGTGTTGCTATTTCTGGAATCTTTGTTTCCTTATAATGTTTGTCATTTCATGACTGCAGTATGGCCCTTGAGCCTCCAGGCATAGCTTCTGTGTCCCAGGCAGAAAGAAGAGAGAAGAGTGAAAGAATGGGCCATGGGCTCTTTCAGCTGAGCCTGTTTCTTTATTAGAAAAGCAAAACGTTTTCTTAGAAATTTTCCCAGATGTTCGCTTACATCTCATCGGCCAGAATTGGGTCTCAGGGTCAATGTTAGGCAGTTGTGGCTCAAGGGTATAAATTACCGTGGCAAGGCTGACCAATCATGATTTACCTCCTGGAGCTGATGAAGATGTCCCTGCTACTACCTGGTAAATCTGCCAGTAGGAAAGCAGGCAGAGGAGCAGATACTGGGGCAGTGATGGATGCGATCCACCCTGATGACCATAACCGGTATCCCTTGGGCCCGTTCACATCCTCTCAGTCCTCACCTTCTTTCCAGGCTCGGCTGTGGGACGCCAATTCTCATGGGCTTTGCAACCTGACCACGCCCAGCCTTGGGTGCGTAGAGTCCACCCTTGTTTCCTGCTCTTGCAGTATGGCAGTGGCAGTGGCTCAGCCCCTGTGCTGGAGTGGTGGGAATTATGGGAGGGTGAATTAGTGCCTCATGGGAAACTCTCTACCAGTGAGGGATAGAACACAGGGTAAAATCTTTTGTTCCTTAAGCAGATAGTTCTCAAATGCTTTCTGTGAGACTTCTAGAAAGGACTGTGAATGGAGCAATGGGCTGCCTCTAGCAGTGACGACCAGATGACACACCTCTGCACTGATTCTCTTCCTTTCACTGTTTATTCCTCTGGCTCTCCTTTCTACTCCCTGGGGAATCTCATTCATAACGAAATCACTTTTGAATCAGATTCCATTTCAGGCTCTGATTCCAGGGAACTCCAGGTTGTGGCACTGACAAGTAGATGACTGGGAGGCGACATGGATGCCTGGTGACAGACGTCAGGAAGAGAAGGGCCCAGATCGCGGCTCTGGCACTGGAGTGCCTGCTCCTAGCACCTCTCTTCCCACTAGTTGTTCTCTTTACTCTGTTTTGGAGATCACCAACTGAAAGGCGTGTAAATAGGTTATATAGGCATAAAGGAGTGTTGGGGACTGTGGCGGCCTGGAGTACACCTTCCCCCTCTAAAGGGGGAAGCCACTGGAAATTTGTATCTTTTTCATTTTGTTATGAAAAGAATTCCAATTAGGGTGCTACAATTAGTCTTTTGTGACCTGATTGCTACATAAATATCCTTCTGTTCTATGCATCAGTCCATTTTATTTTTTTTCTTTTTTTAAAAGATTTATGTATTTATTTGAAAATCATAGTTACACAGAAAGAGGAAAGGCAGAGAGAGAGAGAAGTCTTCCATCTGATGGTTCGCTCCCCAGTTGGCTGCAATGGTTGGAGCTGCACCGATCTAAAGCCAGGAGCCAGGAGCTTCTTCCGGGTCTCCCATGTGAGTGCAGGAGCCCAAGGACTTGGGCCATCTTCTACTGCTTTCCCAGGCCATAGCAGAGAGCTGCATCGGAAGTGGAGCAGCCAGGACTAGAACCGGCACCCATATGGGATGCCAGTGCTTCAGGCCAGGGTGTTAACCCACTGCGCCACAGCACCAGCCCCAGTCCATTTTATTTTTGATGTATTTCAAAGTAGGTTGCAGGTATCAGCACACCTTACCCTCTGCAGGTCAGCAGGCCTCCCATTTACTAGTGTTCAATATTTATTTCTGCTTAGCCCATGGCCCCATTTTTTGAAGGTTAAATATACACAGAGTGAAATGTGTACGTTCTAAGTGTACCATTTAATGATCTCTGACACATCCACATGTCTGCATAACTCAAATAGCTGTCCACATTCAAACAGTGTTACTAGCTTGGGAAACTCCTAGGTGCTTTTTCCTAGTATTTCCTACCCTACCCCACCAAGGGCAATAACTGTTCTCATTTTGTTCCTTACAGTTTATTCTGTTCCTGGTATTAGGACAAAGAATTGGAAATCTATATTTTTGTATGAATTATCTAATTTCAAAAGTTGTTAACACAAATGACAGAAAGCGTTGTGTGACCAAATATAGCATACCTGCTAGCCTAATGGAATCAGCAGGCTACTGATTTGTGAATTCAGTACACTCCATGTTCCTACCTCTCTCTGTATCCTAACTTTCACCACATCCACTGCCATTCTGATGTAATTTTGGCTTGGCTGCTCTAGTGTCTCTTTACATTGTTGGGTTCCCCCACTCTGCTCCCGCAGCTGACTGTTGCGTCCGTCCCTATTTCTTGGCTCACTTTCTTGAAGGGGTCCACTTCACTTTTTATGCCAGACTGTGGCGTTGGTTGCTGGCCTGTTTGTGGGTTGGCTGGTCTTGCAGGTAGTGTTGGCCAGTCCAATCCACTGTGACCGTGGAGGTCTGTGATATAAAACATGGCTACCTCAGGCTGCCCTGACTGAGACCTTCTGTTCAGGGCATGACTGCTTAGGTGTGATTGTGGGTGGCACAGGCAAGGTGGTTGACTGATACAAAATGGGCATGAAACTGATGTCTAGTTTTGGCCTCTCTGAACCTGTTACCTCGTCTGTAAAATGGTGATGGTAAGGAGGAGTCAGAACATTGTTACGAAGGTTTAGTCTATGTTTACGTGAACATTTGCACATGTGTTTTGGGTGCTATAGTAAGTCAGTAAGGCCTGGGTGAGTTAAACCACAGCATTCGTTTCTTGCAGTTCTGGAAACTGAAAGTCTGAGCTCATGGTGCCAGCACAGTCAGGTTCTACCGAGGACTCTCTTTTGGCTGCAGATGGCCGACACGCTGTGTCCACAGTGCAAACTTACTCTCTAGCTTCTTTGTATAAGGACACTAAGCTTATACATGAGGGCTCCACCCTCTTGACCCAGTCACCTCCGAGTGCCATCACATGGGCAATTTCATTTTAACATAGGAATTCTAAGGAGACACAAACATTCTATCAATCACAGTTTGTTGTATGTATTGCTGCTCTTTCGTTTATAAATTCATAAATATGCAAGGAGATATTTTTGGTTTGCCTTTCCAGACCCTGTGTGTACTCCCTGGGATGCACACCTGCATCAAAGGGTTTTCTTCCTTCTGGTGTTTGGTTGAGGTTGGCTCATAGCGATCCACAGCTGGAGACTGGAGAGGGGAATGAGCATGAGCCGTGGGGCCAGGGTGTCCCCGGACCCACCCCTGCAGGATTGGCCAGGGATGGCTGCCTTCCTGGACTAAAGAGTGAAATGAATCAGTGTTGTAGCCTCTCCACCCAAAGTGCTCCTCCCAGGGTTCTATGACTGCTCTCGCCCCAGGCTCCTTCAGGCCTGCAGGGGGCGCCTGGCACCTGGTCTAGAGCCAGGGCGTTACCCTTGTGAGGACCCTAACTTTTGCATCTGGGTCTTTAATTATCATTGTCTCTTCCAATCTTCAATTTGAGCATTCCTGGACCCTGTATATGATACCCTTATCTTTCTTTTTTATGAAAACGGCTTCCCTTCTCTCACCAAAGCCTTATACATTTATAAATGAGATCACTTTCTTATGTGACATTTCACATTTTAATTATTTTTCCAGGGAGCTGCATTTCATGGACAATGAGTGCTGGCTAAGCAAACAACAGGTTTCAGAGGAAGTATCTCATCGGCAGCCACTTAATTAGAACAAGATCTCATTTTCTTCCTAGCCAGCCAGTGCTGAGAAGAAATTCCTTCCCCTCCATGTCAATGTGTGTGGAAGAAATAGCAGAGTTCTTTGGGGGAAGACAACGATGACACTTCCTAGGCTGAGGCATGGTCATCTTGATTACCCAATGACAGCAGTGATTGGTTATTGAAGTCCTGCATGCCAGATACCGTGCTAAGCCACTCACAAATATTTATCTCAGTTGATTCATGTAAGAACTTTGTGAAGCTGGTGACAGTCTCTCCATTTTACAGATGAGGAAACAAGCTTTTGGGAGGTTAAGGGGTTTGCCGATGGTTGCACAGCTGTGAAGGTAAGGATGAGGAAGTTTACTAGTCAAGTCTCTGGGATGTAGAGCTGAGCTCTTGACTGGTGAGTGTTGCTTCCTAGGACAGAGAGGAGCAAGCAGTGGGTCATACATGTGCTAGCCTGGAAGGCTCCAGGTCACCACAGATTGAGCAGGCAGAGGGGAAAAGGAGAGGACCTGCCAGGGGAGGTGGCTGTGCCATGTCACCTAGGACCTCCCTTTGGGACTGTTTCCCCATCTGCAAAAAAGAAAAAAAAAAAAAACGATGGAAATGCTAAATGAAAATGCCCTTCAGCATCTACTATTTTGGATTTTACCCTTGAATTCAAGTCCTCCTTGTAGGTGTCTTTATCTACTTCTGGGTTCACAAGCCCAAGAAGGATCCTTCTATCTGTCCTGCTTTGTCTTCAACTGTTTTCCCTGTAATTCCACGCTTCAGCTTGTAAGTGGTAAATCTACCAAAAGCATCTAGAAAATAGCCCCTTAGTTTTACTCTTATCAGAATATGATGCATGCTTATTTTTAGGAAATTTGAGAAATAAACAAAAGCATAAAGATGGGGCTTTATGGTGTAGTGGGTAAGGCTGCTGCCTGTGCCGCTGGCATTCCATATGGGCAGTGATTTGAGTCCCAGAGGCTACACTTCTTCTTCTTCTTTTTTTTTTTTTTTTGACAGGCAGAGTGGACAGTGAGAGAGAGAGAGAGAGACAGAGAGAAAGGTTTTCCTTTTCCGTTGGTTCACCCCCAATGGCTGCTGCGGCCGGTGCACTGCGGCTGGCACACCGCGCTGATCTGAAGCCAGGAGCCAGGTGCTTCTCCTGGTCTCCCATGCGGGTACAGGGACCAAGCACTTGAGTCATCCTCCACTACACTTCTGGGCCACAGCAGAGAGCTGGACTGGAAGAGGAGCAACTGGGACAGAATCTGGCGCCCCGACAGGGACTAGAACATGGGGTACTGGTGCCGCAGGTGGAGGATTAGCCTACTGAGCTGCGGCGCTGGCCAGAGGCTACATTTCTGATCCAGCTCCCTGCTAATGTGCCTGGAAAAGCAATGGAAGATGTCCCATGGGTCCGAAGTGGAGCAGCTGGGACACAAATTGGCACCCATACGGGATGCTGGTATCACAGGTGCCAGCTCTACCCACTGCACCACAATACTAATCCCTAGATTTAATTAAAAAAAATTTTTTTTGACAGGCAGAGTGGACAGTGAGAGAGAGAGACAGAGAGAAAGGTCTTCCTTTGCCGTTGGTTCACCCTCCAATGGCCGCCGCAGCCGGCGCGCTGCGGCTGGCGCACCGCGCTGATCCGATGGCAGGAGCCAGGAGCCAGGTGCTTCTCCTGGTCTCCCATGGGGTGCAGGGCCCAAGCACCTGGGCCATCCTCCACTGCACTCCCGGGCCACAGCAGAGAGCTGGCCTGGAAGAGGGGCAACCGGGACAGAATCCGGCGCCCCAACTGGGACTAGAACCCGGTGTGCCGGCGCCGCAAGGCGGAGGATTAGCCTGTTGAGCCACGGCGCCGGCCTAATTTTAAATTTAATGATTATTAATACAACTGAGCCACCTAACACAAATTCATTATAAAATATGAGAAATAATTACAGGGTATCAAAAGTAGCATTTCACTGGGCTGTCTCTCTGACAAAGATGAGTCAGGCTTTAAAAACATGGCCTTTCAAAAGGAAGAAATTGCTTATTGCTCAAATGACACAGGGTTCAGCATTAATTCTGTTCTTAATTTTCATTTTTTATAGATGTAAATGCTCAGAAACTTCGTTCACACATGAATAACTTGAGGGAAATCAAAGAGTTTTGTTACAGTAATGTCATTCAATTAAGGTCCTTCTGAGTTATGTCAAAAATCAGATGATGATTTGCCATAAAAGTCTACTTTTAATGATGTATGAGTCAATTAAGCATGGCTGTGATATGTCAGAGGCAAAGGATTGGAAGTTATTGAGATGTAGGAAGATTTACCCCGTACATTTCAGGGTCCTTTATTTTCTCCACGCTTGCTCCAGTGCTTAGAATGCTCCTCTTGGGCGATGTCTCTGGAGTTCTTGTGCTTGGGGACAATGCATTAAAGAGTATTCACTCAGGATGGGAAGAAGTAGGGAGGAGAGGGTGATTGTGTGAGGGAGGAGGGAAGAAGAGAGTGTATGGGAGGCTCAGAGCATCCCTGGGC